CCCAGGGTGAGAGCCTTCTCTGTGGGGGCACCTACCATCTGGAACGAGCTCCCCCCAGAGATACGGAGGATCCCGGAGCTGTGCACGTTTCGTCATGCTCTCAAAACTTTTTTATTTCAGCAAGCTGGCCTGGCCTAACTCTCCTCTTTTAAATTTTTAATTCATGATTCTATAAATTGGGTGTTTTAATCTGTGTTTCGGCCAAAATATTTAATAATTTTAAGGGATTTTTTTAATATTTGTATTATCTGTATTTTATCTTGGCTGTTCACTGCCCTGAGTCCTTTGGGAGTAGGGCGGTATAGAAATTTGATTAATAAATAATAAATCATAATAAACAAATAAATGCTCTGTCTTACATATTGGTAAACGTAATCAGAATGTCAAGTATAAGCTAGGTGGTATTAATCTAGCAGATGACCCTCACTTTGTTGTACTTTGTAGGTGTACTTATCTCTGACGATTTATGTTCCAAAGTTCACTGTAACAGCATTGCTAAAAAAGCACTAAGAGTTGTAAACTTAATTCTATGAAGCTTCTTTTCTGGAAATATTGTATTGCTAACTAGAGCTTATAAAACTTCCGCTAGAGCAAGTTTAGAATATTGTTCAACTGTTTGGAATCCCTACCATATATCTGACATTAGTACAATCGAGCAGGTTCAGAAGTATTTTACGAGAAAAGTTTTGCCCTCTTCTGTACACAATAGAATTCCCTATGCTACCAGGCTCAAAATCCTTGGTTTGGATAACTTGGAACTGCATCGCTTGCAGTCAGACTTCGGTATTGCATATAAAATTATACCTAGTAATGTCTTACCTGTAAATGATTTTTTCTGTTTTAATCACAATAATACGCGCGCGAACAACCGCTTTAAACTAAATGTAAATTGTTCTAAACTTGACTGTAAAAAATATGATTTTTGTAATAGAGTTGTCAACGTCTGGAATACTCTACATGATTTAGTTATCTCAGTTACAAATTTTCAGTTTTAGACACAAATTTACTTCCGTGGACCTTATTTCGCATTTAAGAGGTCAGTAGAGTGGGCGTGCATAAGCGCACTAACATGGCTATCATCCTTGTCATTGTATTTTTATACTATTCCTGTTTTTGTTACTGTTTGACAAATTACCAAATGAATTAGATAAGATATTAAAAAGTATGGATGAGAAAATGATAACCAAAATTTACAGTTACCTAATAAAATACAAACTAGAGGAGGAGACTGTGAAAGAGAATATGATAACTTGGGCAAGAAACATTGGATATACTATTGAATTGGATAAGTGGGATAAATTATGGAAAGAAAATTATAAGATGACAATGTCTATACCTTACAAAGAAAACCTTTATAAGATGTTCTACAGATGGCACCTACCACCGGCACATTTAGCTAAAATGTTCCCAAATGTGTCACCAATGTGTTGGAAATGCAAGTCACAGAAGGGGTCATACTACCATCTCTGGTGGTCATGCAGAAAGGCGCAACATTACTGGCAAGAAATCAAGAAAATGATTGAAGAAATAATGAAACAGAAAGTTGAAATGAGACCGGAATTTTTTCTACTTGGAATAATTACCCCACAATTTACTAAGGAAATAAAATATCTCACTATACATATCATAACAGCAGCACGCATACTGTATGCTCAAAATTGGAAATCTGAACAACTGCCAACAGAAGACAAACTAGTTGCCAAAATAACAGAATGTGCAGAAATGGACAAACTTACAAAGCAATTACAAGAGAAAGATGATTCTGAATACTATCTAGTTTGGCAGAGATGGTATTCCTGGTTAGAGGGAAAGATAAATATAGGAAAATAATGTAGCCTGAATGTCTAAGCAAGAGCCACAGGTAGCTAAGCAAGAGGTAAATTACAATTGATTTTTGTACAACTATGTAAATAAATGAATACGTAAAATAGATATGTATAGAGAAAAACAGGTGGAACAGGAAAATAACCCACCGATGCAACAAATTTATGTTTAGATGTTGGTTTGTTTTTTGTATTGTTTTATTGTATTTATGTTTCTTTGTATTTTAGTGTTGTTTTTCTTTTTTAAACAATAAAAAATAATAATAAAAAAAGACAAATTACAATAAATAAAATACAAATACAAGAATTCCTGTCATTCAACCATTTCCCATTTAGAAACATTTCCCATATATGATTTTCTTTGATTCCTGCATACTATCTAAGTCAGCGGTTCTCAACCTGGGGGTCGCAACCCCTTTGGGGGTTGAACGGCCATTTCACAGGGGCCGCCAAAGCCCTCTCTCGCCCCCCCCCCACGCCTTCACTCACCCTCACCCTCTGCCTCTGTTGGATCGCCCGGTCGCCGTTCGCTTACCCCGCCCACTCCCAATCTATTGCTGCCTCCGGAGTCCCAGCTGGTGGCTACAGGGAAAAGAAAAATTTAAATTCTTGCCATGGGGCTTCAAAGAGCTAGCTGCAAAGAGATAAATTCCTGGAGCAGATTTTTTTCCCTCTAGCTATGCTGAAAAAGGGAAATTGAAAGTAAGCAGGCTGCAACGTGACAAAATGAGGCAGAGAGATTTCTTTTTCTTTTTCCTCACCAAAAAAGGTAGGTGCAAAACTGCAAACAATGGGAAATTTAGGGCAAAAGAGGAGAGTTCCAAGATTTTAAAACACAAAAGAAAAAAAGCTCTATTTAACTAGGGAATTGTAATAATTGAGATACTATTAATTGGTTAAGTTGTGGTTTGGAGGAATATATGGGGGAAATTATTTGGTTTATTATTATTGGTAAATATAATTAATTGATTTGTAAGAAATTGGATTGCATGGAAATAATTGGAATATTCATGTTCATATTGATTAATATACAAAAAAGATAGTTATATAACTAATTGATTTATATTAAAATGTTGAATTTGTATTAAACAATTGTATTACATAATTAACCAATGTGAGGATGGATATAAAAATAGATGACAATGCGAAGGGGTATAATATAGAATAGAAGGGGAAAATTGAATTTGATTAAGATTAGAGATGAGGATGAAGGGTAATATTGCTTTTTTAAAAAAATAGATGAGGAATAAATATGGTAAAAAGGAAATATAGAAATTGTAAATTTAATTGAAATGACTAAATACTGTGTTGGAAGAAATATCCTTCTGGGTTCTGCTCCAAGTGGGGAAAAAGACACTGGAAACATGGAGACTGCTTGGAAAGATGGTTTAATGGTGGACAGGATCACATGGCTTGATGGGGCCCATTGTGTTAGTTTCTGTTGCTATTGTGTTGCAAATGTCCTTTGACAAAGGATTGACTTTCTGCCTCTGGCCCATTAACAAAGGGGGGGGCAGGAACGTGGGAGCTGCTTTGTCTGTAAAATATGTTTCTCCATTTCTCATCCAGGTAGGGAAATATAATATTTTGCCTTTTTAATATTTCCCAAAATATTTCATTCTTCTAGGAAAGGGGTGGATGCTAACCTCCTACAACTGTTTAAATTTGTGAACCGGCCAAAAACTCTGTTCAAAGAAAATACGTTGTATGTTTGTATGTGTGTTTATAATTATTGCTATTTATTGCTATTTGTTCTCTTTTATTCTTTAAAGTTTAACAATTCATTCTTTATCTTAATATCTTAATATTTGTTTGGGGTTGGCTTTCTTCCCTTTCATCTTTTTTATTGTACAGCAATCTTTCTCCTCAAACCTACCACCTCTCTCTTTTCTTTTCTTCTTACTTTCTCTTCCTCCCCTTCTTCTTCTCCTCCCTACTTCCTCTTCCTTTCTCCTTCTCCTCCTCTCTTCCTCCCTCTCTTACTCTCACTCCTACTCTAATTTCCCTTCCCTTCCTTCATCCCTCTCTATTGCTGTATCCTTTTATGCATATGGACTACTCAGAGGGCTGAAAAAGTTATTTTTGACTGGTCCTCGCACTTTTGACCAGTCCTCGAACTTACGACTGTCCTCACAATTTACGTATTTGCGCTATCTTGTCACCATGGTGAAGAGAAGCAGTTGTGAAATGAGTGACACGGTTGTTAAGAATGCTACAAAGGGCATAAATGATGACCAGTCATAACTGCGAAGACCGGTCAAAAGTGCGAGGACCTGTCAGAAATCACATTTTTCAGCCCTCTGGGTAGTCCTTTTATGCATATGGACTACTCAGAGGGCTGAAAAAGTTATTTTTGACTGGTCCTCGCACTTTTGAACAGTCCTCGAATTTACGACTGTCCTCACATTTTACGTTTTTTGCCCTATCTTATACCATGTTGAAGAGAAGCAGTTGTGAAATGAGTGACATGGTTGTTAAGAATGCTGCACAGGCATAAATGTGAGGATGGTCATAAGTGTGAGGACCAGTCAAAAGTGTGAGGACCTGTCAGAAATGACTTTTTTCAGCCCTCTGAGTAGTCCCTATACATATAGCCATGGCCACCCGGTCACATGACCAGCTAGCCATGCCCATCCAGTCACATGACCTCCAACCCATGCCCATAAAATAAGCCACGCCCACAGAACCGGTAGTAAAAAAATTTAGAACCCACCCTTGGTTGGGGGTCACCACAACATGAGGAACTGTATTAAAGGGTCGCGGCATTAGGAAGGTTAAGAACCACTGATCTAAGTGGAAATAAATTTTATCTTTTTTCAAATAAAAGGATAAAATGCAGCCAGCCAGTCTACCTCAACAACGAATGTGATTGCATAAAAGGATGCCACTTTTAAAATAACACAATGTTATGTCTCATGTTTTTACATTTGTTCTGGCTGTGAGATGCTCCTTTGTGTTCAGGTCTGGCCTCAGAAGGATAATGTAGCACTTGGGGATGAAGATGCAGCCCAGCAGACTAGCACTGGAGGCCAGGATGGAGAAGACCTGCACAGCCACCATGTATTTCCCTTTGGTGCTCAGGTAGGTGGGCACAAAACTCACCCAGACACTGCAGAAGACCAGCATGCTGAAGGTGATCAGTTTGGCTTCGTTGAAGGCCCCAGGCAGATTCCTGGCCAGGAAGGCCACCATGAAGCAGATGACAGCCAGGAAGCCCATGTAGCTGAGGGTGACATAAAACATGACAACAGCCCCTTCGTTGCATTGCAGGATGATCTCTCCAGGCTGGGAGTGGAGGTCAGAGTCAGGGAATGGGGGAGAAACTCCCAGCCAGATGGAGCAGATGATAATTTGGACTGCAGAAGAAGAAAGGATGATAGAGTTGGCCAAGCTCTTCCCCAACCATCTCTTCACTCGGTTTCCTGGTTTTGTGGCCAGGAAGGCCAGCACCACCATGATAGTTTTGGCCAAGAGAGAAGAAATGGCAACTGAGAAGATGATGCTGAAAACCATCTGTTGGAGAAGGCAGGTGGCTTTCCTTGGTTGACCAATGAAGAGAAAAGGAGACAAGAAGCAAAGCAGGAGGGAGACCAGGAGGATGTAGGAGAGGTCCCGGTTGTTGGCTTTGACAATGGGAGTTTCTCTGTATTTAATGAAGATGATTAAAACAAGGCCTGTGGTTAGGAGGAAGAGTAGGGCAAAAGAGACCAGGATGATGCCCAGATGTTCTTCATAAGACAGGAAGGTTAAAACTTTGGAGATACATTGGACTCTGGCCTCATTTGGATATTTATCATCTGGACACTTGGTGCATTTTTCTGTATCTGAGAAAATCAAAATTTTAAAGAATGTTTCTTTAATATTCTATCTTTTACATTTCAAAAAATAACTTCTTGGGACAACAGGTGGTAAGTGGAACATTTTTCAATATGTATAGCTTAACAGAGTAAAATGAGAATATTGTTTTCTAAAACCTGTAAAGTCTATTTAATCGAGAGATATCCTGAGAAACTGTGTATTTTGAATTAACAAGAAAACAATTGACCTTCGCTCTTTTTTTTTTCCAATTTCCACTTTCATGAATATACTCTGGTTGAATCCAGTTTCACATTTTCCTCAGTGTGACCCACCTTCCTGAGTGGAGAAGGTCCCCTCCGGACAAGGAACGCAGTCATAGCAGCAAACTGGCTCTCCTTCTCGAGCCCTCTTGACAAATCCAGGATGACAATTTTCCACACATTTGGATTGAGGCAGGGACTGAGCAGAAGAAAAGGAATGCCAAAGAAAAGATGTTAGGACTCTCCAGGTATGGAAAAGGGAGGTAGAAACAGACATTTGAGAAGTAGCCTCTGGTGATCACTTAGGTAAGTATGAACTCTCAGACTAGTTCCCAACAGATGTAGGAGGCATAACAGTGGCAGATTCTTGATTTAGTTCCTCCTTTTTGCTTCTTGCATATCCAATTGCAATAAAGAACCTTTCTACTTAATAAAAACTGGAGGGATGGAATTGAGAAAAAATTTAAAGATTTCTCTTTAAGAGTAAAGAGTTAAGAGTAAAGAATAAAGAGAAAATCTTGATCTTTAACTGGACTACATAAAACATTGCCAAGCTGCTCCCCTTTGAAAGTTATCCAAAACAGTCTCCTAGTTAAGATAAAATATAAATTTCCTTATAGATTAAGGCTGTCAGCATTAAAAAAAGATGGTTTTTTTCTATTTTGTTTTCTTCAATTCCTATGGCTGCCATGCTGCTGAAATGAGACTAAAACTGTCTAATTTCTAGAATTTAGTGAGATGAGATGGAGGTCATAAGAATGGGTCCCTCCAACAGGCATCTTTTGCTGGAGCAGATGGGACATGAGAATGAAGGGGCATTTTGAAGGTCCAGCTAGTTATCCAAGACAAGGTCCTGTCTGCTGAAGAACTACAATTAGGTGACTACAATTAGGTGGCATGGAAAGAGAGACCCAAGAGTCAAGGAGCTTTAACTGTAAGGTCTGCCATCTTCAGCATTTCCCGTTTCGCTGGCATCCTGCCATAAAATGCAGGGAAGGAGGGAAGTTTGGGGGGAGGGAGGGAACGACAGGGTGACTGGACCCAGAGATGTCAATCAAGAACAAACCACCCAATCAAGGACGAAGCTGTGAAAACGGAATGCAGAACTCCACCAAAGAAACCCCAAATGGCAAAGCCGTTCCCAAAACATCTAATTTGAATATCATTGGACACTGATGGATTGGTCAAGGGCGGGGCAGGGAAGAGAGAAAATGCAGTCTTTGCGCAGGAATATTCAGAGCCAGCTTTGCTTATGCAGTAACCGCTTGACTTTAGTACAAGTAAACCTTTCACTTCAGGAATGGAGTCGAGGGTCTTTCTTTCTTAAGTGCTCAAGTCAGGACAAGCCTGACATTAAGGTAGCTAACACTCAAGATAAACAATGGCATTCAGGGAGTTTCTGGATGAAGAACCCTCCTAATAGCCAAAGGCCAAATCCAAGTAGTTGTTTCCCTTCAAATTCTCCCTTGTTATTTCCAATATGAGGAAGGACTTTTCTTTGGACCAAAATCTTGTTTCAGTGCTTTAGCTGTCTGGGTCAGCTAAGAGCCATTGTGATTTCATGTGAAATGATAGCCTTGGACCTCCTTCCTAGGAGCAGGAGGCCCATTGCTCTATCCCAAGGGTGTGAAAGAGAGACAGGGATAACTCTGACCATGTCTGGTCTCCTTAGGAACATCCCAGATTATGAACCTGCCCATTCAGGGGACACTTTTCCCCAAGCAGGACAAGATAAAGCTTATTTTCCAATGGGCCCAATCCTCAGACTCCAATCCTGAGTCTAAGAAAACAGGTTTCTACTTCCCAAATTCAATTCTTAGTGAAGGCCAACCACCCTGGAGACTCTAGGTTTTGCCTACTTGAAATGGGTCCTCAAGCTTTGGAAAACAGAGAAAAGACACCAAACTTTCTCCCACCTTGTTGAGCAACTTTAGCCGTGAAAGAGCATCTTGTCTGATTGAAACTCTCTGTCTTTGAAAAGTTCCCAGTTGCCCTTGGATGGCATCCTTCGTGGGGAGAACCAACAAGCACCAGATGATCAGATCTCCTACTATATCTTCATTTTCATCCAAATAGAGGTTAAAGTTGGAAATATTGCAAAATTCATTCTTCTCCAGAAAGAGGTGAAACTAGTGTTCAGGAATTTTAAAAGCAGAAAACTCTGTTTCTTATCTTTCTTCAATTGTTCTATCTTGCAAATATCCTTATTTATGAGAACATGTGTTACCACCATAGGTGAACAAAAAAGGCTGGGAAAAATTTGTCAATCATATATTGACAAAATATATATTGACCAAATATAATTGGTCAATTATAGGGAACATTCTAGTGCAGGTGACAAATGAACTGAATAACAGGAAAAAAAAGAGTTTATAAACTTAAAAACAAGAGGTTGATTCCCAGGAAGCATCAATTTGTCAAGAAGAAAGTTCTCAGGCTAATCTTCTCCCTGTCAATGCAGATGGGAAACGTGACCACATGAGTTTGTTCTACTTGATTGTAATTCTCCATTAACAGATTGTTGTAAGTCTGAAAGAACAAGTCTCCCACCAACTCTTTTTTGCAGACTGAAAAAATAGGGAATTTCTCTTCCTCTCTCATTATGCAGCTGCAGGCATTCCCCCTCTTATCTGATTCTTCCCTAAGCAGCGTTAATTCTCTCTATTTGAAAAGTCATTCTCACTTATGACGGAGTTCAATGTGAGGCTAAAGCAGTGGTGTAAAGCAGAAGGTTTTATGTTAGTCATGAGGTTTGCAGTTGGTCTGATCAAAAGTTGTACAAAAGAGATGGCTTGCATCCATCACCGAAAGGGACTGAGTTCCTTCGTACTAAATTCAGGGGTTTTCTGGAGAAACATTTGAACTGAATAATGGAGACAGAGAATTAATTGATACAAAACATTTCTGTCCCCAGCAATCTAAACCCAATCAAGTTCTCAGTGTTTGTAACATAGATGTTTGTGTGGTTAAGAATATTGAGGTTGCTGTTAAGAAAAGTCAAACTTTTGACAGTGTGTGCCATACGATTAGATTGGCCAAATCTATTGGCCTTTTGTAGCATAAGTAGGTTGAGATGGTCCCTTTCCTTCTCCTTTGGATTCCTTCTCCAAATGAATTAAGATTAATAGATCCATACTGGGATCCCATACCTGCCACTGCTGCAGCCTTGGAATCCCCAAGATCTTTTTACCCTCCTTCCTTCTCCTCGATCTGGAGGGATATGCAGCATTCAAGGCATGGGCCAGAGTCTTAATTATACTGTAGTAATGATGGTAATTTGTTATCTTTTTTCTGTTCCTTTTCTCCTGGGTCTCCAGTGGGGCTTTCTGGGTGCATCTTCTGCAGCCTTTGACAGAAAAGACAGTCTTTGAAAAAGAACAGTGAAAATAATGATCTTGAAACTGATTTTCCACAAATAAATTGCATTCAAAGGCATCATCTATTGGCCTCTCTTTTGTCAGGTAACGAAAGCTCCAAATACTATGTATATATTTGAGAAGTCTGTGTTTTGTGATTGTATACACTGCAAAAGTTGTGAGGATCCAGACTTTCCCTTCAATAGATCCTGGTAAACGCCTAAGTGTTAAATGGAAAGGAAGAATTCTGTCCCAAATGGAAACAAATTCTATGAAGTGAACAAAGACATTGACTTGTCTCCATTTCAAGATGGCATCGCTGAGGGTTGCTGTATGACCAGTTATTGTGAATAGTTGTGATATAACAACACAAATTCCATTCCTGACAAGCATAGGAGTAAATGTCCTCATGAAATTCTCTCCCTTTTCTGAGTCTGAAGCAAAAAGGCCAATCAGGGTCCATCTGAAATGGAGGAGCAGTTGGACAATTGCTGGGTAATGGAATCCTTCTTTGGGGAGCATCTGGTGGAAAAAGGGGAATTGGCTTTTATCACTCAGAGACTCTGAAGCAGTTTCAATCCTGATCTGAAAAAGCAATGAGGAATTCTGTGTTATGCTTGGGATCAAATCAAGTCCAAAATATTAGCTTTTAATAAATCCTCCCTGGTTCTTATGTACATATTAAAATAATTTATTATTGACTAGCCATTATTTAAAATATTAAAGAGTGTTGACAAAACAATATATAAAAATGGAATACAAGAAACAAATAGTAACAAAAATGCAAATTTTATTTCTGCATCACCTCTACAACTTACTGCAATTAGAATCAACATATGCAAGTTTCAACTGAAATATTTTGTTCCAATAAAGGGCCGTATTATATGTTACTTCTGATTATTGCAATGTCTTTCTCTGCCTCTATATGCTAGATTCCATACTTCCACCTCTTACAATACTAGACAACACAGTATCAACAGTAGAGACCTTTAAATTTCTAGGTTCTACCATATCACAAAATCTAAAATGGACAGGTAACATCAAAAACATCATCAAAAAACAAAGAATGTTCTTTCTTCGCCAACTCAGGAAGCTCAAACTGCCCAAGGAGCTGCTGATCCAGTTCTACAGAGGAATGATTGAGTCTGTCATCTGCACCTCTGTAACTGTCTGGTTTGGCTCTGCAACCCAACAAGACAGACACAGACTTCAGAGGAGAATTAGAACTGCAGAAAAAACAAGGGCTACCAACCTGCCTTCCATTGAGGACCTGTATACTGCATGAGTCAAAAAGAGGGCTGTGAAAATATTTACAGATCCCTCACATCCTGGACATAAACTGTCCTACCCTCAAAACGATGCTATAGAGCACTGCACATCAGAACAACTAGACACAAGGACAGTTTTTTCCCAAACGCCATTACTAAACAAATAATTCCCTCAACACTGTCAAACTATTTACTAAGTCTGCACTTACTATTAATTTTCTCTTCATTCACATCACCCATCTCCTTCCACTTATGACTGTAACTTTGTTGCTTGTATTCTTACTATTGATATTGATAGTGATTGTTTCCTGATTGCTTATTTGTTCCCTATGACTATCATTAAGTGTTTACCTTATGATTCTTTTCTTTTTATGTACACTGAGAGCGTATACACCAAAGACAAATTCCTTGTGTGTCCAATCACACTTGGCCAATAAAGAATTCTGTTCTGTTCTGTTCTGTTCTGTTCTGTTCTATTCTATTCTATTCTATTCTATTCTATTCTATTCTATTCTATTCTATTCTTTGTGCAGCAATCTTTTTGCCTTATTGTCCAATTGTACAAAAGACAGAGAGATCACAGCTCCTAATGTAATCCAAAAGGTCTTTGATTGAAATCTTGTCTGTTCTAACAGACACAATTTTGGGAGTTTGTCAGTTTTCATAGCTTTAATTTTACACCAATAACTATTGGCATATGTCCTGATTTTAGATAAAGAAGAAATTCCCAATTCAGCTCTGAGGGCAGCAGCCTCCTTTTGTCGTTTTTTAAAATATATTTATATTTGTTTGTTCAGAGCTGCCTTCCTTTCACTTCATCTTTTTTATTATTATTATTATACAGCAATCTTTCTCTTCAAATCTAACCTCTCCCTCTTCTCCTTCCAACTTTCTTTCCCCACCTTCTCCTTCTCCTCCTCTCTTCCCCCCGTCTTACCTTCTCTCCTACTCTGCTTTCCCTTCCCTTCCTTCCTCCCTACTCTTCCATCCCTCTCCCTTCTCTCTTCCAATTCCTTCATCTCTCTCTATTGCTGTATTCATTTTCAATTCAATGTTTTCCATTGTGGAATTCAGGAAACCCCGATCCCTCATCTTTTTAATTACTAACAATATATTTCATCTTATTCTCTTTTTTCCTTCAAATCTTTACTCAAACCATTTTCTAATCTCTTTATCTTTTTTACCTTTACCAATATATTTTTTCTGCTTTACTTCTTGCAAGTATAACATTTAAATCATTTTTATCATTTCAATTTCATTCAGTTTTACATTCGATTTCAATCATTAAATATATTTCTCAAAACAACTTAACAATATATTTCCACTTATGCAAATATATATATTTATAAAGCGCATCTTAATCCTTTCTCATTTTACCCAATCCGATTAGTTCTTAAAATATTTTTAATTTGTCTTCTTTTCTCTTTTTAATTGTGTTTCAAATATATAGTTTGAAATATTCCAAATATTACCTTTCCCCCAACTAATTTATTCATATTGTTAAAATTTATCATTCTATAAACCTCCAATATTATTGAGCATGTGACATTTATTACAGTTTTCCCTTTGTTTCTACTTTTCATTTCCTTTTTCGTATCTTTTCATTATTAACATTTTGTATCTTAAAATCGTGAAATCTTTGCCCTTTATTTCCCATTGTTTTCCATCCCTTTTCCCTCTTTCTTATATTTCCACTGTAAATCCCAGTGTAATCATTTATGTTTTTAATATTTTTTCTTCTCCTCCAGCCTCTTTTCCTTCTTTGCCTTTTGTTTTCCCTTTTTCTTCCTTTCTTTTGTATTTTAAAATTCTGCACTCTCCTATTCTGCCCTATATTTCCCATTGTTTCTCCTTTCGCTTTCCTTTTTTGTATCTTTTCATTGTTAATCCCAGTATGTTTATTTTGTATTTTAAAATCATAAATTTTTTTATTTTGTCCTGTATTTCTTATTATTTTCCATCTCTTTTCCATCTTTCTTATTTTTCCACTGTAAATCTCAGTGTAATCATTTAAGTTTTTTATATTTTTCCTGTTCCACCCTCTTTTCCTTCTTTGTTTCTTTTCTTTTTGTCCATACTTAATATTACAATTGTTTAATTTTCCATAGTCAATCTCTTTGTCTTTGTCTTCTTCATTATCCATCTCTCTTTCTTGTTTCTCATTAGTCATTTCTTTTTCATCTTCAATGCATTCTAGCTCTGTCTTTGCCTCCTCAGATTTCGATTTTCCATGCAAATTTATAATCATTTCCTTTATTTCCAAACCCATCGTCTTTATCAGTTCATTAAGTTCCTGTTCCATTTTATTCTTTCCGGGTTGAATTATTCCAGTTTTAAGTCACATTGAGGTCCCTCTTTTATAATCATCAAAGTCTGCCCTCTTGTAGGCAAAACATATCTTCCTTAGTTCTCGCCAGTTATCTCTTTAAAGGTTCAAGGTTTTATTTTTTCCCCTCATTTCTTCAAAAGTTTTCTCAAAGTAAACAATTCCATGTCATGCTCTTCCTTCTCCTGCAAATGTCTCTCTATAATCCATAGTTCCACTCGACTAATTAACAAATCTCCATTTTATTTGTAATCCACATCCATGTTTACCAAGTCATAAAAGAGAAAAAAGCCAGTTTTCACATCTTCCTTCACCTTTATATGTCACCAATCAGTTTATAATCCAATCCAAATTGAATCCAAGTTCCAGATTTACATTTACATTTATCAATCACTTTTTATTCTATTCTTTATTCGGGTTCTTCTATGGCACGCTTGTCATTCTCACTTTCTCTTTCCATCCGCCATCTCCCCCCGCCGCTATTTAGCTGCAATTTCCACGCCGGGGTAATTTTAGTAATAGCTTAATAGTTAAAAATATTTAGAATTTTCTTTTTATTGTTTGTGGGTTAGCTAATCACTCACCACTCTGCACATCACTTGCTCCAGAGGCTCCAGCTTCATGGCGATTCACTCTGATCGCCGCCCCCCGTCACTGGCTCGGAGAGAGTTTCTCGGGCTATCCAAGGGACTTGCCTGTCCCTCTTTAGACACTGAGCTGCCTCTCTTTCTTCACTGTCCCTACAGGACAGCTTTGGTCCGAAGACCTCCCAGTGTCAGTTTGTTTGGCTGGTTTTTGCCAAGCTCGTCAGAGCCTGGCATTTTCCCAGCCAGTCACGCCGCGCCGCTTCCGGATTCTCCCTCCTTTGGTCGTTTTGTCTACCCTCAAAATACTCCACAGATTCTGTGGTTGGGTTTGTTCCACTGGTGACATCTATTAAAGCTCCAAACTTCAGTTTGATATAAGAGCTTGGAACTAACTTTAGCATTACATACTTTCATAAATCAGAAGAAAGATGGATAGCTACTTTTTTTTTAAGGTTAAGTGCAGTAGGAAATTCACTCATGCCCTTTCTGTAAGTGGCTCCTTGGATGATGAGGAAGCAATATCCAGTCTCCATGAAAACTACCCCTATGTAAGGAAAGGCACTACTTGCTCTATTGGCTCAAAATAAATTAGGCACCTATGGCTGTGGTTTTATTTTCTGAAGATCATAACTTTGACAATAATCATGCAATAATTATGTCAGTAGGAGACATGTCTTCTTAACAGCCTGCACAATCCAACATACAAGAATGTTAATAGTATCATCAGAGTAAACCAGGGTGTTTCAACATGTATTTAACTCCTTAGATATGTGTACTTCAAGATCCTTTATTAGTGCAGGTAAGTCATTAATATCTAGACTGAATAACAAGAGTTCAAATATACATCCTTTCCTTCCCCCTTGGTAAGTATCAATCCTTCTTCTCATGGATCCACAGAGCCCAAACCTCCCTCTCAAACAAGGGCTTGGATCAGGGCCAACAGGCCGAGCTCCATTTTAAGGGCAATCAATTTCTCCCAAAATATTTCTCCTTTTACCGTGCCAAATGCTACACTAACAATTTAAAGGCAGCAAACTGTGGCTTGCCTGACTGACATATTTTCGGATTAGATATTTCAAGACAAAGCTGTTGTCAATAATTTATTTCTTATACAAAATTTATATGACTTTTAACCCGACCTAAAACTTCTTATTGTTTTGCAAAGAAGAATTCTTGCTACCCAATCTCAAATTTACTGAAGAGGATCACGGCATATATTTCAGCCACAATATCTGTTAGACAAGGCCTGTAAGTGCTAGAGTCCCTCTTCACCAATAGGGTGAAAGTAGCTCTTGAATTCCATAGCTTGCATCTATTCCTCACCAACCACCACCACCCCACTCACTTTATCATATTGAACAAAACCCACCCACACCTGTGAGACTTTGTAGGTGCCTCCTAATGTTGACATCTGGATGGATATTTCCCTGTAAGCTCCCATCAGTAAGAGCCCGAAGGTTTGTAGAAAGGGCTTGGATCAGAGCCAACAGTGCCATTTTGAGAGCAATCAGGTTCTTCCATAATATTTCTCTGTTTATTGTGTCAAATGCTGCACTAACATCTACAGTGTTTCCCTGAAAATAAGACTGGGTCTTATATTTTTTTTGCCACCAAAAAAGGCACCAGGTCTTATTTTCAAGTAGGGGGATGTTGTCCACTGACTCACCTCATTTGCGAGCGTCAGCCCTGGCCTCCTTTTCACTGTCAGAGGTCTTCAGGAACTTCTGCTGCTGCCAACAAGGCCTGCAAGGCTTTCCTGAACGCCTCTGTAGCAGATTAATCCAGAGCTCTGTTATCGGCTGCAGAGGCCTTGCAGGGAGAAGAACTGGGCCAGCAAGGCAGGTGTCGGGGTATGCAAGGCCTGGCTGCAACTGTCCGAAGGTAAGTAGTAGGGCAGCTCCACCCCCTCATCCCCACCCTAGCTTAATTTTTACCCGTGCACCCTGGAGTGGGTGCGGTCTTAATTAGGGCTTATTTTGGGGGTAGGGCTTATATTGGCGCATGTGTAAAAATCAAGCTAGGACTTACTTTCGGGGTAGGTCATATTTTCGGGGAAACACGGTATAAAGCCAGCAAACTATAATTTACTCAACTGACACTTTATGATTAGATATTTCAAGACAAACCTGTTGTCAATATTAGACTATTAATTTATTATTTATTATGCAAATTCATATATCTTGTAACTTGTTCTCCAAGCTTCTGGGTTGGTTTTCGAACCATCTACTAGGTAACAACTTCTGTGGGATCTAGGCAATGTCAGTGTTGGTGTTCTGCTTATAAGGGCTTTGTGTGGTCAGTAGGTCATGTGATGAGAGGGTCACCTCAGGAGGTTTTGCGATGGGTCTTGTGAAGGGTCAGGTATGGGTCATATAAGGTGAAGGTCTTCTAATGGGCCTTGTGAGAGGTAATCCTACAGCTGAGCTACAGATATTCTCCACTGTTGCAATCTTGTAGCTTAAACCTTTTTTTCCTGGAAGGAATGCAGGTTTTTTTCTACTCAGTTTCAAATTTATGTAAGAGGAATACTGGATATATTTTAGACAAAATATTTGTTACACCAATTGGCCTGTGATTGCTAGAGTCCTTTTTATTCTATTTTTTAATACATTGTCATTATTATTTCAACTTGAATACAACTGAATACAGCAAGTATTATTTATATGTGGTGTTGTGGCCTGCCAGCAGCCTGCACAGATTGTTGCTGATCCCGACGATGAGGAGGCTGGTGTGGTGTTATTCCAGCAGCCTGTGCAGCCGGCGCTCGAGTCGGACAGCAAGGAGGCTGAAGAAGATGTGGTGACAGAGGCAGGGATTTAGCCAGGGCCTTCAGAACCTCCAGAGCCTCCTTTAAGTGAAGAGGATGAAGTGGAGGAGCCTCTTCTCAATGCACGAGCATGCAGAGCTGCCAAAAAGCAGGAGTGGTTACTCAGGAGGAGGTCTCCTCAAGAGTAAGGCTTGGGGCTAATTGGCCACTCCCTTAGCCTATTTAAGTTTGCACACAGCTTGTAAAAAGCTGCAGGAAACAACGTGTGTTCATCCATTCGTTCGCTGATCATTGAGTTTCGATTTTTTCTGCAAACTTTGCTTCTGGGCTCTCTGCCAACTCTTGTAAGACTCTATCTTATCTGTGGAATTTCGGGCAGGTTGTTAAGAACGTTTTATTAACAGCTTGCATTTGCAAAAGATTGCATTTTGAAGTAAACTGAGTTTTATTTGGAGTTTGTGTGTGCTGCATTCTTTGGGATCCATAGCTGGGGCAGAACATGTGGAAAAAACATACTAATACTCCACAGCTAGACATATTTAAAAAAAATAATTGAATAGCCAGTAGAAAGTCCTCTCCAGGGACCTTATTGCTCTCCAGGCCTTTTATGGTGAATTTCATCCTGAACATAATAGAGTAAAACATAGTTGACACTTTTGCTAATATGGAGAAAAGCAGCTCTTAATTCCATGGAGAAGATATGGTTGGATCTATTGCTCACCCACCAACACCCACCACTCACTTTACCAGATGGAGAAAAGACACACACACAAACCTGTGGGACTTTGTAAGGTTCTGCTAATGTTGACATCTGGATGGAGATGTCCCTCTCAGCTGCATCGAAAAGAAGCAACAGGTTCTCCTTCCTTCCACAGCCGTAGTTGGGGATATTGGCTTCTCCGGTGGAGAGCATGTCCAGCAAGGCCTCTGAAGTGCAGAAAGTGCTCAAAGAGTTGTCATGGATGTTGTAGCCAAGTGTGAGATTGTGCAGAAGCTGGGGACTCTTGCTGATCAGTTGAATGTTGAAAATGAAGGATAGGATTCTTGAAAAATCAATATCCCTACTAAACAAAATCTTCATATTAACAGCAGCAGCAGCAGTAACAAAATACTTTATTTAAAATTTAATCACCTTTGTCTCCACAACCCTACTGAGTTTTAAGCCAATATTGATCCAAAGCCAAGGATCAATTATTTACAAATATGGAAATGGGCTGGGCTGAAGCTACTATAACTGCTTCCATCACTACCTTAAACAAAAGTCAGTATTCAAGTCATGAATTCAGGACTGAACTGGGCGTGGAAAGTAATGTGGAGTTCCTTCAATTTAATTTCAGCCCCATTTTATTTTCTTTTACAAAATAAGAACAGAACATAGAATAATAGAGTTGGAAGGGATCTTGGAGGTCATCTCGTCCATTCCCCTGATCAAGCAGGAGAGTCTATATGATTTCATACAAATGGCTGTCCAGTCTCTTCATGAGACTCCAGTAATGGGGCTTTCAAAGAAAGAAAAAGAAAAAAAGGGGGAAGCCATGGAAATCAAAATCATTTGGGGAATTAGTCAGCTCCTGTGGTATAAAAATAAGTGAAATAAGAAGAAAAGAAGTAGAGTTTTAGAACCGCAAATGGAGGGAATGCAACTTCATTATCGTGCCTACCGTCCCTGTCTTATTGTCCCTGTTTATCTGCATTTACTTCCTTTGTTCATGTTTATCTTCATACCTATCCTTGCTATCTTGTACATGTTTGACAAATAAATAAAAATAAATTACCCTGAATGACTTACAAATAAGAATAACTAGTAGGAGCCGTGTTGAAAGGCAACGTTATATGCAATACTCTTGATGCAGTGCTGACTATACTAATCAGAAGGTCTCCTGGCTTGTAATAGCTCCATGGTCTTTTTCCATCCTGGTGCTCCAAACTCAGCGGGCATTTCATTCTAAGCTTCCCAAAGACCGGCTGGGACACCAGCAGCATCAGAAGAAGAAGCAGGAGGTCCTTAATTTTGAGGGCTGAATCAACCCCCATCCTCTTTTTGAAAATGGACAAGAAGAAGAGGAAGAATTTAAAGCACTCTCACAAGATGGAAATGCCATGCGTTTTCTGATTCAGACAGAGACAAACTGACATTCATCTGGAAAGAAGAGAAACGTAGAATCAAGAGCACAGATCCTGCCTGTCCCAAAACTTGTTCCCACAGAGCTGGACGGAAGAAATTTATCCTTTTCTGATACAAGATTCTTTGCTTATGGCTTCAGATATCAAAGGCCCAGATAGTCATAAATACAGTGAAAAGCAACTTCTCCTCTTGGGTTCCTGAGCTTTTTCTGCATATGCAGAGGAGAGGCTGGAGAAAAGCAAGTGAGTGAAAAATTACAGAGACACCCCTTGGGATTCTGTTCTCTAGTGGTTGTGGTCCTTCCTGTCAGAACATGTCCAGAAAGTGATGCTGGAGGAAGATAGTTCAATAACAAGGGAACTGACTTCTGCTGTCCTTCAACTCGGTCTCTTGTCTCCAGAGTCTGCAGGGGAAGGTCACTCAGAGCTATGGAGTTTGGTGATGCTCTAGATTAATGACACTTGACGCTAGTCTCATCAACCTTATCTATCTCGTATCCAGATACTAATGTCATTAAAACTAGTCATATAAGAAGGTAGGGAGTAAAGAGAAAGAAGAAAATCTCAGATGCAAAGTAAGAGATGTAGGAAGCATACCCAGGATCAGCCACAAAGAACTTAAATTCCTATACATTAATGCTCTAAGTTTAGGGAGCAAACAGGGTGAACTTGAAATAGAACATAGAATAACATAGTTGGAAGGGACCTTGGAGGTCTTCTAGTCCAACCCTCTGCTTGAGCAGGAATCTATATACTAGTACACGAGGACAAATATCATATAGTTGCTATTATGGAACTTGGTGGGATGAAACTCATATCTGGAATGTACTGATAGAAGGATACAAACTATTAAAAAGAAACAGACCTACCAAAAGAGGAGGTGGGGCTGCATTATATGAGATCACTTCTTCTCTACAGAAATGCACGGAACCAAAGACGAAAACCTCCTAGAACGCATATGGGTCAACATAAAAGAAAAAAAGAATGACATGGCCATAGGCACAGGGTGAAATGCTCCCAGTTCGGACCAGATCGCCTGATCCGGTAGCGATGGAGGCGGGTGGTTCGGAGAACCGGTAGCAAAAATTCCTGCCCCCCCCCATGCCCAGCTGAGCCGCAGGATCATCAGAGGCTTTTTTTAAAAAAACCCTGCCGATCAAGGCAATTACCGGTTCTGTGGGCGTGGCTTGGTGGGGGGGGGATAATGTGACATGGGTGGGCATGGCCAATTTTTTTTTTTACTTTTAAAACCATGCCCACCCAATCTGCTTTCTTTTACAAAACTATTTAGATTATTATGGAAAAGTAAAAAGTTGAGATTCTATTTTAATGCTTTATTTTACTGCAACGGAGGAAGTCTAAAGTCAGCACTTTTTTTTCTTTTCTCCTCCCCCACCCACTTCTCTTTCCCCTCCCCCCATTTCTTCCTCTTTGGTTTTTTTTTTTTTTGTATTTTATTCTATAATCTAATAAAATATTAAAAAAAAAAAAAAGAACTGGAGGATTTGAATGCGAAATCTGATTTCTTCTGTTCAGATGCAGCCCAGAATCAGAAGGAGGGAAGGGTCAGAGAAAATGAAGGAATATTTAAAAATATATTTTAAAAAACAAAGGAAAACTTAGACTTTGACAGAAGAAAAATAAAAAGCAAACACCAAAAAAAAACAAAAAACGATTTTGTCTTTGGATGGGAGTTGGTCTGATTTCCAGTTTTGCGCGAACAGTAGTCTTGCTGCTGTCAAGATATGTATGATGAGATATTTCGTTTCCTTAAGATGTT